AACAGTTTACAGCATGGTATGTGAATATTAAGTTATCTTAAGTGAAGATGAATGGACAAATTTTTCTTAGGTGTAGTGAAAGAAGAGAAGCAAATTTCAATATACAGAACTGTAGATACTTGAATAGCATGTTGCCGTTACAAAAGTGTTGAGGAAGATTTTCATTGTTCTCAAATAGTAATTATAGTGAATATATTCTCCATCAAAGAAAATAGATCCCTCAAGTTCTGTCTTTTTAAGAATATTTTGAAGGGTTTACATACCTGAAAAACTTTTCCTTGTGAAATTTCGTATGTTTCTTTAGACTATGGAAATTCTCCCACTCTTTACTTCACCAATAGTGTGTGTGTTGTGTGTGTACGTGCTTGTGTACTTTTTATATTGATGGAATGATTTATTAGATTAAATGATCTGTTTACATTCCCAATGTTTAGGGGGCAGAGCACTCATTTATATTGAATCATTCATTTTTGAGATGAACACTTTCATCTGGTATTGTAGGTTTTCACTTAACTTTGTTCTTTCTGTAATAATCTTAAATGCAAAATTTCCCTTTATAAATGAAAAAATAATATACACCAGTATTCATTCTAAAAGTCTTCACCAAACACTATAAATTAAAAAAAAATTTTAAACAGCATTTTTTATTGAAATGTTGAAGTATTACACTCAGTATACATATTTATAATTTAGAGATAGGTGGTCTCTCATCCAAGTACTAACCAGGTCCGATCCTGCTTAGCTTCCAAGATCATATGGGATCAGGCTTGTTCAGGGTAGTATGACCGTAGACTATAAATTTAAATTTTTGGCTAAAACTATATGATATGTTTTGTGTTTCTTTCTTTTCTAACAATGGCTATAAATTAGTGATGCTGTGCTATATTTATTAGTTTGTCAGAGCTTGTAGAATGAAATAGTGTTATACAGAAAAACTCATTCAGAGGAAAAATTATGTAATACAATGTGGTTTAAAATGAAGCTTAATTGACTGGATTAAGTATATATAACACATTATATGTTGTCCCATGTTCTGAAAGTGAGTTGCTTTTTGTTTAGATGTAACCCTGGCCTGGATTATAATGGCTCAATCTTAGTTTTGTTTGGTTTTAATCCCTGCTATGTTACTTTGTTTAGGAAGGTCTTAGAATTTTGATGGCCTTGGAAGCTGAATGAGGATTCTTTTTCATACTGCTCTTCAGAGATTTTCCACTTGGATTGGAGTGATATTATTATATAAATCTTGCCACTTTTTTAGTGCTTATATAAGGTAAAAATGCTCAAAAATGGTTAGGTGAACACGGAAAAGGAAAGAGATGAACTGTAACAGAGATCTGTTATTCTTCTATCAAAATTTTATTTTCATCTGTCTTTGGAGACGTGGTCATGTAAGGTGAACAACTACCTAAATACTTGTGTTTCAATTCTCTATAAGCCTTTATTATGCTGCATTTTGCATGGAAATAATATTTAAAGCAGTTTTAAATTCTTTTCTAGTATTTAAAAAATTTTTTCCAACAATGTTATCAGGCAAACTGAATAACCTTGGGATAGCCAGAATACTGTTGTGTTTGCATGTAATTTTTCGAGATGGGAACTGCTTCAGAAAAGCACAATGGAATAAAAATAATGTCTTTATTGTTCATTCTTAACAAAGCTGTATTTTTTTTTTGTCGGGTGGAAATGGTTGACGTTAATTATCCTTAGTCATGTGAATATTCTGTGAATTTTTTCCCTGTCTCCTAGAAGAGTTTCTGGAGGAATGGCCACCAAGTCCACAGCTCTATTCGAGTCATCCCTATGTTTTGAAAGCACATTATCTGATTAAACTGTTAAGGACAATTGCATCATGGGAGGCTTTCTGACTTGATGTATACCTTGCCAACTAATTAAGTCCTGGATGTAATGTGCATAAAGATGTAAAGCATTTGAGGGCCAAATTATACCTATTTTGTCATAAAGGGAGTTGTTTAAATTATGGTAATGATTATCACTTGATATTTATGAGGGCAATCTGGGCATGATATGCCAGAATACTATCTTAGCAATATATTCTTATGGTCAGACTTAGATAAACAAGCAGATAATATATACTGATAAGTAAAATGGAGAAGAAAAGAATTCCACAGATAGGCTTGGTAATAGTGGTTTTTTATATATGCCACTCTCATTTTTACTTTGTTTAGGAAGGGCTTCAGTGATATGTCTTGAAGGAGAAAGTTATATAGCTATGCAGTCCAGGGGCTATTGAACATTTTTGAAAACCAAAATAGACAGTATACAAATAACACGGTGACAGCATACAAACAGCACTCTTTGAATTTGGTTATTAAAAGAATCTATGTAATTGACGTAAGGCTGTTCCTATACAAATTGGGAATTTTTGTGTCTCAAGAATTAATGTTTATGCTTTTTTTTTTATGAAGAATTTATCTAATGCCTAAAATATATGTTATGTTTAATAAAGGAATTGAGCCTCTTTTGAAATACTCAATATAGAGTTTCTGGGGGAGATGTCTTTTTTCCCTTGTCTTTTTTCCAGGATTATGTTGGAAAAACAAAACAAAAAAATCAACAAACTCATAAGAAAGGGCAAATCATGGAAAAGAAGGCAGACAAAAAGATCTTAGGCTTATAAGAGAGCAAACAGTCCATTTCTGTGAGCATTTCACAAGAATGTTTAGAATTCAGATTCTGAACATGGATGGCAGCAGCTTGATTCTCTATAAAGCACAGATATAGCCTAGAAGAAGCTATAAAGCTCTATCATGTCATGGGCTGATGAGAGGATGGATTTACACGATCAAAGATATAAATGGCTTTGAGTGAGTTGTTAGTCATAAGGTCCATGATTCTTCATAATTGACATGGCTTTCCCTTGTCATTCAGACAGACATCAGTAAGGATGTGCTATTGTCACAGCAATCCTAAGAGCCCACATATGCTGCTGTGAGCATTCTAAACTCCATATTGGAGAATACTGCATGCCTCTTTGTGTGCAGCTGTGGTTTTGGATGTTTTACATCATTTAAAAAATCATGGCTGGAGCACCAGCTTTACACTGCTCTCTCTGTCATTTGTATGATTTAGAGAAGAGAATATGAGCAATGGGTTAATATGAGCAATGGGTTTCTCTCCCCTCCCCCAAGTGTGACTACATACCTGTGTTTAGAGAATAAATGGAAACATTCTCATGCCACATTCCTTATGGTCCAGCCTTCAAAGGCATATTCCAGTGAGGAGACAGGAAAGTGTACTATCTTCAACTTAAAATATTTTAGAAAGACTACTAGGAGCCTGCTTTCCAAATAATGGTGGGTATTTGACATACTCTGAAAAGATTTGTTTGCAGTTTTTCTATGACCATCAGGGAAAGTAAGGTGAAAGGGAAACCTCTGTGTGCATTGGTTTAAGTGTGCTGATGTCAGTGGGGAGGGTGAAGTTTTTGGTTCCATAACTATATGTCACATATATTTATAAAATGTGACTTAAACCTAAAGGCAATGCTAGCATGAATCAAAGACTTTTCCATTAAGATTTTTAGTTATTTTTGGTATCTTATTGGGCATTTTTAATAGTGGGACAAGTCATAAAAATTATTTTGAAGGTTAGTGGTAGTTTTAAAAAGTTAGCGGTACCATTGCATAAGATTCAGTAAAAGCAGCTTTGATTGAGCTGGGCTATGGGCATGCAGGTCTTTCACATACGGTGGATATGATTTTACGTTATTCTTTTTTTTTTTTTAAGGTGGAGAAATGAATGAGGCATGCATTCATGTTTTTCACCTAGGCCAAATGGAAGACTTTTCAGTGATGTAACCCATTAGGTTGGAGAAGCTTTTCTGTGGAGCTGCCCCGCGGTGCTGAGAATAAGTTATGAATGCTGCTCTGTTTCAGTGCAGAGGGCCTTGCCGGGAAGAGAGCGGTGTGCCTGGGCCCCAGCTATTGAGAAGATGCCAGTCAGGGATGAAAACTTCTTTCATGAAACTATAGCTAACTTCCCTGCGACACATTACCATAAAGCAGAGAGTATTTTTAAAACCAATAGTGGGAAAATAAACACAATACCTTATAGAAGTCAGAAAGTTTTATTTTAAAGTATGCATGTTGAGTGACTAAAAATATACAGGTTTGTGTCAGAATTCTTTTTAGTGAATTGGTCTAAGCAATTTTCCTCCTCTCTCCTTCTCTCCCTGTTCACAGCTCTGATTTCTTTTGCCTTTTGGTTACAGCTACAAAAGATGTCTTCTGAGACAAGTGCTGGTGCATGACATCAGGACGAAGGAATGCTCAGCCCAGTCCAGCGTGTTTAAAAGCATCAGCTGCTTGAAAAAAAATGTTACATTTTCCAGGGTGGATTAGAAATTATGATAATCTGTGAGAGAGGGGAGTTAGGTGCAGACTTTTACAGATTTTTTTTTGGTTATTATTTCCAGTGATCAGAGACATATTAAAATTGAGATTGGATTTTGAACACTAGCAATATAGTGTTTTTCCTCAAACAGAAGATACCTTGTGGTCTTTATAAAACAAGTGATAACAATAACAATAGGATGGCACAAGATTGTAAACTATATAAAAATTTCAAACTTAAAATTGTAAATTTTAAGTACTGAATCTTTATTTTTAGTTTCATGAATTCACAGGGCTAATTATTAAATGATTATATGTCAAAATAATTTTAACTTCCTTTTGTTCTTCTTAGGTGTTACCATGACTCGATTGGGAACATTTTCATGAAATTTCTTATACTTGGGTAAAGTGCATATTAATTAGAGTAACAACTAAACATTTGTCATGGTTCAAGATATGAAATGTTTCTTTTTAAAAAACTATCAGTATCTTTATAGATAAAGTTTGTTAATGTTATTAATGTCCACCCTTGTTTCTATCTGTATTAGTAGCAGAAAATGAAAGTTCTGGAAAAATTTTTAACAAGTACAATTTCAATAAAATATATCGAAATGATAATATAGAAAAAAGTCAATCACATCAAAGAAGTCATTGTTTTGGAGATTTATTACCTGTATATTTGAGAATTATAATCTCTAAGTATCGGATTTCTGTTAAATTATAGCTTAAAGTAGTAATCATGTTAAAAGGTAAACTGAAGCACATCGAAAATTCAAGAGGTTATTTGAGCATACATTGATTCTAATTGAGTAGTGCTAAACTAAAGTTGGTTAGAAGCGTTTCCCTGTCAGGAGCTAGGGATTAGGCTTTTATAGAGAAGACACTGAAACAAGGAATTTATTAGATTAGCTGTAGTTTAAGCAGTTGCCTTATTTGGGAAAGCCTGGTTGGCTGTAATTGGTTGTTCTTAAGTTTCACTTTCTTGGATCCAAGGGCACTGACTCTGGCTTAGGTTTTGGTTTGCTTGTGTAAGCTACCAAGGCATTAGAGCCACCCCAGACTAATGGCCTCCTTGATTAATTACTTTAACCATCATTATGCAATAGATGCTAAAGCTGTTTACACCACGAAAAGTATTCAGGGATCAAATGGTTTCTGCCTTCACAGGAAGGAAAAATAAACATTAAGGAAAGGAAAAACTGAAGAAGGAGATGATTCTGTCATGTAGGCCTACCATGGCAAAGCCAGTGAGTGTGTTGACTCTATCCAGAGGCAGTGCAAAGTGCGTGTGCCTCTTGAACAGAAAAGGGTGGTTTGTTGGAAGGGAGAGTTCACTCTCTTAACTAGGCCTTCAGGTCTCAGAGTTGACTGAGGCTAGCAAAAGGCAACTTCTGTCTACTTTTTATATGTGTTTTCTGGAATTGGAGCCATTAGAAATGGCAAAAAAAAAAAAAAATTATGGACTGGACAGACCTTTCACTTATTGCTTCGTTTCTTGGTTATTAACATAGCTGCCTTAATATTAGAACGAAATGAGGAAAAGTTTATATGTACAGAGGATAAAGCAAATAACTTCGATATACCTATAGATAATTTTTCCAATTGAAATATGGATTGAAGACAGTTCTCAATAGTCGTTACTTCTCTAACTTTTCTTCTAATAGATTTTTCTAGTAATTTCTCTGCAATCCATATGGACTTGTATTTTTTTGTAGGTAAATTATAAAGCATTTGAGATTTTATAGATGTTTATAGCATTCAGGATACTTTGGTAACAACAGAAAAAAAATTCCTAGTTGAGCATTTGGCATAGTTAATTTGGTTGCCATTTAACTGAAAAAAAAAAAAAAAAGATTCATTTTACTCTGTTAGACTGCCTTTCCTGCATGTTCTTAGCAGACTTTTGTCAAAGAAAAGACTCAACAAGACAGTTTTCTTTAATCTTTCATTTTTTTTAGTTAAAAATATAAAAGGTAATTACTTTTGATTTGTATCAGTGCTGTAGGAACAGGTACATCCCATATGTTAACAATGATTGATTAAGATGTAATGATGGGTAACAGCCTGCCTACTCCATAAACGTGTTTAGGTTTTAGGCTTTTGATTGGTCTAGTATTGCAAGAGAAGAATGAGAAAATCTTGTATTTATATAAAATCTTTCTTATGAGGACCCTGGAGGTTGAATTTGGCTTTATACTATTAATGGAGTGTGCCACCTTTGGGGATATCACCAACCACAGCAGCACTACCAATAACTAAGTAGGCTAGATACGTATCTCTTTTGTTGTCTTCATTGTCATACCAATGACAATGACTTGTGTTCTCTCACACTTGACTTGTATCCTCTCACACTTCTCTAGGGTTTATTTAATCTCTCAAATACCCAATATGTACCTCTCATGACAACCTTTCAATTTATATTTTCTTCTAGAGTTATTTATATTTCCAATTGTGACACCCATGGCACAACAAGAAAATTGTCCCATCTAGTCACTTGGCACATATTTATTATCTACTATATAACTGCTCATGAGCAGGGTATTAGAGATCACAGATGATATCACTCATGATACTTGCCATCAAGGATCTCCCAGTCCGAGTGTGGGGAAAGGCAGGAGTGGAGACCGACATGTGCAAAGCAGCAGTTGTAACTAGTGTGATGCATGCTGTGGAAGAAGCAGGTACAGAATGTCCTGGTGTCATAGAGTTGGGACACCAGACTCATTGTCAAGGCTCAAGATTATATGCTGAGAGCACAGGAACCCTTTACATCTTGAAGGATGAGAAAGAACTGAGAAGATGGATAAAGTGGAGAGGGACGTTCTAGGCACAGGGGCAGAACAGCCATAAAGAACTCTATAGAAGCTGTTATGATTGAACACATGTAGTCATATGACAGGAAATAGGCTGGAAAGCTACAGTTTGGGAAATCATTAAATCTTGTATTTTTCATAATGGGTTTTGAACTTTATTTTATACCTCTGTCACAGTGCCTATGAATTGAATTAAACTGAAAGAGCTTAACAAAGGATCAGTTTGGGAGTGAGCTGGTTAGATTTGGATTTTAGAAGGCTAACTCTGGTGGTGATGCGGAGAGAAGAGGGGCTGAGATCAGAGGAAGATGCCAGTGTGAGCTGTGAGGTCCTCCAGGCAAGAGAGGGCACCCTAATCTAAAGCAATGTAAATAGGTATAAATTATAGGCTTGGTAAATTATCAGAGACAAAATCTACAGAAATTAAAAACTGAATGGTAATGAGGGGTGAGGCAGAAGGAGAGAGTCATGAAAAGCAAATGTTTTGACTCAGTGGATTGTGTTTTTATTCCCTGAAACAGGGAATATAGGACAAGGTGGAGACTGTGCCAGATGAGTTTTGGTTTGGACATTTTGAGACTGAGGACTTCCATTAAAATGTGAAATGGCAGAAACTCATATTTGTAGACTAATTCAGAGTATGGAAATAATTGAATGTATTTGATAAGTGAATGCTTGCGGAAAGATCGAATGGGTGTGTAGATTAGCCGTCAATTCATTACATTTTAAATGACTATTATTGACTTGCTGTAATTATTTTAAAACCATATAGCACAATAGGAAGCATTCTAATTATTATAAAAGCAAAAGAATAAGTAGCAGAAACAATTATTTTTGTTGTGTAAAAATTTCCAAATAGGTTAATGTGATTATACATAATCCAGAATTTAAAGTTGATTAATCTGAGTACTACCATTTTCCCCTTCTCCGATTGCCTATTTTTGGAATTCGTTTATAACAATGGAAGGCTACAGTGGGCAAATCCAATATGAAGAGGAATCAACTTGAAGAGAAGTGACCAATAAAAAACTTGAAAACTAGTAGTGAGTATAGATTTTTAAAAGTTAGTGGAGGATTAATCCATTAGGATTCAAGGTTTGTTCTTGGTGAGATTTATTATTGGAGGCTTGTCAGAATCAATGAGATAGGTATAGGATGATTATAAATAGCTTTATAAAGGTATATTTGTGATCCTTTGTGATAAGGATTAGTATTCTTGATGTTCCCCCTGGAAAGCCAACTTGGTTAATGGGGCTGTAATTCCAGAAGGATCAAATCCCCTGTAAAATGTAATCTCAACACGAGGGGCAATGTCTCCTTCTAAGATTACCTTGGAGGTCCTCCCTCTAGTAGACTCAGGGTTCGCAGGTTGAGGGATACCTGGCTCTTGACATAATGTAGCCTTGGTTTCTAGCCTTCTGTCCATCTGCCGTAGTTTCCCCAACAATGCTTGTAGCATCTTCCTTTGAATCTGTACATTATTGGTTTATAGTCATACAAGGGCAGTGGAGACTGAATGTAGGCAGAATTCTTCCCTCTGGCCCTTCAAAGCTATTAAAATAACACACATCATCCACTTAATGACAAACATTTCAATGATAGTTACTTTCCATCTCTTAATTTGTGTCATTCAGATCGTAACCCATGATTATTCAAAGTAATTTGATTGGATTGTAAATGCTATCCCCGATATTCAATGTTACAAACTATCATTCAGGGTTAGTTAAATGTACTTACATTGCATCCCTCTTTGGGCATCGTAGTAAGGCATTTGTTGGTTTGGTTATTTGACTGTGTCTGGCACAGTGTCGGTCACTCAGCTTAGCCAGCCTGGAGGTCTGATTTGCCAGCGTTCAGAGGGCAGCTCCATCTCTCTCGGGTGGACTCATGTTAACGACATTCATGAGGCTAATAAAACCAGAATGCCAGATTATTTACTTGCAATGAGAAAAACAGTCACACAGATGGAATGCTTGTCTTAGTAAGACCCTAGCATTCTTTTCTGATGTGGAGAGATCACACCCAGAAGTGGCTCATAAGCATGGAATCAGAATGGAGGAGTAGGATGAATCAGACTAATGGTGATCTGTACATGGACCATAGTCTAGTTAGTAGGACAGGACTTCTCAAAGTCTGTCAACCAAGGTTGCTCCTCCATGTAGAGTGTGTGGAAGGACACATCCAGCATTTGTCTCTGTGGCTTTTATTTTCTGAGTATTAAGTGTGATTAAGGAATTCCTTTCTGAGTGTCATATTTTTTCTTTATGTCCTCAGATAATATAATCAAATGTTGATGTGGCTTAGAAGTCATTCTACTTCTTTACGATGACACTGCTTTTTTTTTTTTCTTTTTGTTCTCATATATTAGTTACTGTTGTGGTAGAAATTTCAAAGTCAGATTAACTTCCTGATGTTTAGAAGATGCTGCTTTAGACCGAGCACAAGCAGGGTCTAGAAATGCAAGGAAATGAGAAATTCTAGAGGAAAACATATTTGAATGCACTCAAGTTCTTTGCTTGGTGTCGTGTCAGGAGATCTACAGCGTGAGAAATTTAAGAGGAAATTATAAGCAAATGCACAAAAAGGGAAGAAGATTTTGGATCTAGAAATGGCCACTGAACTTGATAACAATGTTATATATGACAAAAGATCCATTTATTAGCCATTTTGTGTTTTTTTTTTTTATTAGTTCAACTATGGGTCATTTTCCATTTGCCAAACAGAAGTGTTGAACTTCACCGACAGATTGTGGCCTTTATTTTCCACTGTAAATTAATCATTTTCTCCAATTAATTTTTAATTACTTTGATTTAAATTTTGAATGAAGATGGTTAGTAAAAAAAGTAAAAGCATTAGGAGATAAAAAATATCGTTACCTTTTTAAAGATCAGTGTATCTTCATAGCTTTATAGATATAATAAGATTTCGATTAATCAAACGATGGCATGAAGATCTTTCTCGTTCTGTCTGATATTATCAGATACTTTAATTAAGCACTTTTGTTTACATAAACAGGATCTCAGCTTATGATAGCCCAGAAGGAATTTGAAGAGGAGGATTTTTAAGTCAAATTAATTACCTTCTGAAAAAAAAACCAGCAAGTTTGCAGAGATATCCTCTTTTGAGTTTTCTAAGTTAAAGAAGTGATAGGATGGGTGCTGCTTAGGGGATGGAGGGGAAGAACTATGGATGATGGATGGAGATAGTTAGTTCTTATTACTTTATTATGAGTTCTATGATACCCTAAATATGCAGGTACTTATATTTGTACTTACACTCTTGAGGAAAAATGTAAATACCTTTGGGATTCCATGATACTTCACTTTTCTGTCTGTTAGAACAGATACTTGCAAACCGACTCCTAGGATATTAAATGAATATTCTATTAACCAAAAGTTAAGATAGTTTAATATCTCTTTTTCAGCAAATAAAAAAATATCTCAACAACAAAACTACAATAACGAAGTATACTAAACTCTTACAAATTATAAATTCTAGCACACAGTATTTTTCCTCGAGTGTTAATTTAAATTAATAACAATGAGTTCATATAAAAGAGAAGCTAAATTTTAATGAAGTTCGCAAGATAACTTTTTGTTATTGGGACCTTAAATTAAAAAAAAAATAATGATAACCATTCTAGTATGTGTGTTTTAGATATTTAAGAACTTGGAGTTTCTGGAATCAATATTCTCTTCTTGGAACACTCTTTATTTTCTAAGAAAGCAAGTAACCCTTGGGAAAATGTTATAAAGAAGACAGGATATAAAGAGGACTATTTTCATAGGAAACTTAAGCTGGGGGCAGCTCAGCACAGTACAAGGAGTATAGGTTCAAATCCTCATCCTGACACTTGCTTAGTGGTTTTGGGTAAATTAACTCATCCAAGCCTCCGGTTATCATTTGTAAATTTGAAATAATACCCATATAAGGCTTCTTTAGAACAAAACAAGATAATGTACATAAATATGCCAGACATAGGAAGCATTCAGTTTATGAATCGTTCTGAATAAAAGGAATCTTGCTCATGGAGAAACCAACAGTGAATTACAAACCAACTTTTCTGGAGGAGATACCAATAAGGAAATGTTAAATCTTGTTTTTGGCTCTTGTAATCACAACCAGAGTTCATTTTTTTCCCCTTTGCTTCCTTTTCACTTTCATGGTCTTAGTTTACCTTGCACTTATATGTGAGCATTTTCCAAACTGCTTTCCTTGGCCCTCTTCTCTTGTTCTAAATTTTTCCTTGAGCTCCCTTGTTCTACATAGCTTCTTCAACTATCCTCTCTTTTAAAAAAAATATTTATTTTTATATTTTTTAATTACAGTCGATATAGTATATAAGCTTCAGGTGTACAACACAGTGATTAGACATTTATATAACTTATGAACTGATCACACCAATAAATCTAGTACCCATCTGACACTGTACATAGTTATTATAGTACTACTAACTATATTCCGTATGCTATATTCTACATCCTCATAACTGTTTTGTAACTACCAATTTGTACCCTCTTAATCCCTTACCCACTTCACCCATCCTCTCAACCCCACTCCTCAATCTGGCAGCTATCAAAATGCTCTCTGAGCTTGTTTCTGTTTTGTTCATTTACCCTATTCTCTAGATTCCACGTGTAAGTGAAATCATTTGGCATTTGTCTTCCTGTGTCTGACTTACTCCACTCAGCACAGTACTCCCTAGGTCCATCCATGTTGTAGATGGCAAAAATTTCATTCTTTTTTTATGTCTGAGTAATATTCCATTGTATATATGTATCACCTCTTCTTTATCCATTCTTCCATTGATGCATACCCAGGTTGCCTTCATATCTTGGCTATGGTAAATAGGTGTTTATAGTGTGTTGGGGTGAAGCAGATAGGAAAGGTCACAATTGCCACCAAGTGTGATGAATGCTATAATTGATGTTTATACCAAAAGTCCTCATATCTCAAAGCGGGGAGCCCCTCACTTTGCTGTAGGAAATAGAGGAGGTGGCACAGATGCCGTGTTACAGAGCTAAGTCTTAATGAGTTGGTTGCAGCAGAGTCTGATGGTGTCTAGAGAGTGTCAATAGCCTCTGACTTAAAATATTTTACCAATTGTTGCCAGGGTCAGACCTGTGTAAACCAATTTTGATTGGTTTGAACTTATTTGCTACCAAATGTCTAGTTGAGATCTATTTTAGTGACTGCCACCAAAATGTGATTTTTAGCTCAGATGCCAGATAAATGTGCTATGTTGTTTAGCCTCTGTGTTCCTCCATGCTGCATTATATTTGATTGCCAAGATTAACACTGTGGGCCAGCTCATTCCCTGATGATGCTGGATAAACGAGGGTACCACTGTAAGACTGTGCGTGTATTTATGTTATAGATTCAGATTTTGTGAGTTGTTACACATCTGATGCAAGTATATGAGTAGAGTTCGAACTTCAATTAGTTGAGTTTATGAAGCACTGACAGTGTAGGGCAATATATGAGGCATGTAGGAAATTACAAAGGAAATAGGAAACACAATCTTTGTTCATATTGAGTTTATAATCTAATGGAACAAATATAAACAGGGATACATGATAACAGATAAAATAAACATAAAAACATAGTCATAACCAGTTACAGATGGATAGAGATATTTGCACAAGCGCTGTGGGGTTGAGAAAATGATTACAGTGACTGTTGTCAGCTGGGATAAGTCAGGAATTGTTTTAATACAGGATGTAAGATTTAGGCAGTAATATTAAGGACAGGGAGGACCAAGATCAGTATGGGGGAAATCATCTTAGGAAATATGAATCAAAATTAATAAAATGAATGAAAACAGAGGGAGTAGGTAGGCTATTTGTAGATGGCAGTAAGGTTTGCTTGAACAATTGAGGTTTTACAGGATAGATTTATTTCGGAAGACCTTAGAGGAGGCTAGCTGCTGTAAGAAACAATCCCAAATATCAGTGACTTAATACAACCAAAGGCTACTTTTTACATCAGACCCAAAGGAAGTCTGTATGGGTGTGGTTCCTATTCCGTGCAGTTGTTCAGGGTTCCAGGCTTTTTCCAGTTTTAGGTTCTAGGAGTCTTCTGGGTTCTAGGAGTCTTTCATTCAGCTGGTGACAGGGACAGAAAATGGAGGATAGTCAATGGGAAGGATATGTGAGTCCAGCTTGAAGTAACCCTATACGTATTCCACTGACTGGTGCTCAGGCACATGGCCACACCTCTGTGCAAGAGGCTGGAAAAGTGCCCAGGAGGAAAAAGGTATAAGTTTTGGGAAACACGTGGGATAGTAGTCTCTTGCTATCACTTTTATGCTAGTATTTTCTGGATCTAGATCACATCCTTGTTTTTCTCCTGAAATTTAGTTTGTTCTCTTTAGTTTGTTCTCTTTAGTTTGACTAGTGAACTTAGGTGCTTTGCTCTCACCTCTAACTCACCACCCTCTCCTTTCTCATCTTCATTATTCATTATATTTTTATCAATAATTTCTTCATTTGGTAATTGCCTTAGCATGATAACTCAGGGTCGCTGTTAATCCTTTTCTCCTCTTTACTTTATGTACTTAACAATGTTCCTTTAGAATGCTTTTTCAATCTGTTCTTTTTCCTCTTCATCCTTCTTCTGCACACTCTTGTTAGTAACCTCATCTCCTAATGATTGGCTGGTATCATAATTTCCTACCTAATATTCTACCCTGAATATTGCTACTGGATACATACTTTCATCTTGCTACTTCCTCACTCAGTAATCCCTTTCCTTCCCTTTTGTGTGAAGACGAATTCCAAATTCTTCAGTTATAATTAAAGAATCACTGTTATCTTGCCTCCACTTCATTTCTGACTACTGAGCACAAGAAGGCTCTACTTCTACTCCAGGCAAGCTGGTCACATTAGTCTATGAATTTGGAGGATGCTAATTCATACCCTGAAGACATGAGCTTCCCCTGGCAAACGTGCTATTGTGCACCTTTTTGGAACAAGTCCCAGCTCATATCATGTATCACTCATGAAGCCTCGCACAAGCACTGTGGCTCCTAGTAATCTTTGACTTGCATGTTTCACTCACTCCTGTGGGCACTTAGTCATATACAGCCTCCTTTTGTTATAAAAATGTTTAATGTGTGCATGTTTTGTCTCTCCACATTGATTGGTAAGATCCATAAGGGCAGGGATTATGTCATATATATTATAATTTCCTACAGGACCTAGCATATAACTAGGCACAGAGTGATTACTCAACAACTACTTGCTGAATAAACGTATTGAATGGAGATGAAGGCACTTAGGTGTGAAGATAATCAT